CCTTCTTCCTCCTTCCTTCCTTCCTTCCTTCAGGAAAAACAACGCAGAGAGGTTCCCAGATCCTAACTTTGTAGTCCGGAAGGAATCACACTCTGAACTACACAATATGAGTCACTTTTCTCCACCCATTAAGAGCATAACCTTTTTCAGTCTAAGAGTGTTTATGGAAGAACAGTGGAAAACAAAAGTCCATTTTCTTTTTTAGGATCAGCAGTATTTAAAAAGGTAGGAAACTGCTTTGATCCACACATCAGCCCAACAATGAAGAACTTTGAAGATCCACACAACTAAGGATTGGTTCATTCAGCTCTAGTTATGACTCCTGAGCTGGAGGGCTTTTTAAATTAATCGTCTTTGCTTTTACAAATATCCTTCATTCTGGGGGAAATTGTATTGACCATTGATGATAAACATGTCTCTACTTAGCTGCACAAACTTATATGCCAAAGTTTCTTTCTTCTGCTTTTTAAATTTTACACATTTGTTTCTGCCCCTTTTAAAACAATCCTGTATTTTTGGTTTGGGTCTTGATGTCGTGTTTGTCCAGTCAAACCAAAGATTACACCTTTCTGTAGCACCCTTTAAGAGAAGAGAACACGCCAAAGGAAGTAAGGACAGAACAGAATGGAATTGTATTAAATTGTAAGAAAAGCTAATTTAATTTTAAAAACTTAATCTAATTCTAATTAAATACAGATTATATGGTTACACTTGTATATTTATTGTCACTGTCTCTTCAAAATTCACATTTCTGATTCCTTTTGGAGGAAGGAAGGAAGGAGAAAGGAAAGAAAGAAAGAAAGAAAGAAAGAAAGAAAGAAAGAAAGAAGGGGAGGAGGGAGGGAGGGAAGGAAGGAAGGAAGGAAGGAAGGAAGGAAGGAAGGAAGGAAGGAAGGAAGGAAGGAAGGAAGGAAGGAAGGAAGGAAGGAAGGAAGGAAGGAAGGAAGGAAGGAAGGAAGGAAGGAAGGAAGGAAGGAAGGAAGGAAGGAAGGAAGGAAGGAAGGAAGGAAGGAAGGAAGGAAGGAAGGAAGGAAGGAAGGAAGGAAGGAAGGAAGGAAGGAAGGAAGGAAGGAAGGAAGGAAGGAAGATTTTTAACCACTCTTTCCTTCCCCTTTGGCCATCTCATGCCATATGTTGACCATGGTAATTAAAGCAAAACCAAGTTCCAGAAGTATGTCTAAATCCAGAGCAGCCTGCTGCTTTCTTCCATTCAGTCTCAGTGAGGATCCTGATACCCAGACCCAATTCCACATCCTGTAGGACCTCTCTTGATCCATTATTTATTCATTGGTTAATTTATTTCAGACGTTTTACATTTTCTGTTTAAGCAGAAAAGCCTCCAGAACAATTGTTTCATACAATCAGAGAAACAATCCAATCTAAGCTGGCTAGTTTATAACCTAACGAACATAGCATAAAAGGAAGAAGGTATCCAAAGGGAAGAGGAAAAGCAAACCACCAGTTTTTACATTTCTGTGTCATGACCCATTGGAAAAGAAAGTCAAATCAAGGGGCTCTCTCAGCAGACAGATGCAACCTCCCTGCTCCCCATCTCTTTGACCTGCGGCTGAGTTGGTAAAAAATGAGAAAGAATGGAAAGAACATTAAATGATTTCAGAATAGAAGGTTTAGGGATTAACAGGCTCTGTGCAACTCAGCTGCTTGGGACATATACCAGAGAAGCCGTGTGAGAACATAACTAGAGTTTTTAAAAAATTATGGTTACAGCTTGTATTATTTTATCACATTGTCACCAGCACAGAATAGAATGGAACTATTCCTGCCTGTGATTGGAACTATATTCCTAAAATTTCATTGGCCCCTTTGTAGCCATTTCAAATCCAGCTTGTGATCGGTTGCAATTTTAAAATCCTTTTTCACACTTATGACCGCCCCCTCCCCAACGAGCCTCCGTCCTGTACCTGCATTTGATTTTTTCTTCCTATGTGAAAAACTCCAAATGTGTTAAATTCCAGGCTGTGCCGTTCACCACCCGCAGCTCTACGCCCAACAAATCGCGTTTGGGATTTTCTGGAGAATTATCTCCCATGTTCAGTTTTGTGAACTGCAGATTTGATCAGCATTCATTCCACGTTATCCACAAGCCATCTTTTACCTATAACCCTTCTATGCTTGTCAAACGTTTCTCCCATCTTTTCTCTTCACGTGAAAAAACGGCCACGGCGAAAAACCTCCACGGTGCCCTTGGAGTCTCGTTCCACCAAGAAGGTGGATCTGATTCTTTTAATCAGGGTGCATTTCTTTTAATCAAGATGCATTAAATTTCGCGAAAGACCTCATCAATCTTTAGCTGACAAATTTATTGAAAGTCTTAATGGTATTTGATTAGAGAGAAAGAGACACCAAACATTACACATAACCTACACTTAATATTTAATTTTACAGGTTATGAGATAGATAGATAGATATATGTTTTGCCGTACTTAAATCATCTGTCTGCTCTCGCCTGCTGTGAAAACACACAAGATAAAGGGCTGATCCATTTTTCTTTTTAAAAAAGTGTCATCAGGCTGTTCTTGAACATATAAAAACCGAGCCTGGATTTTAAAGGTTTTTAATAAAAGACGGGGACAAACTGCTGTGTGTGAGAAAGCGTTTGGCAACCGGAAAGCAAGGGCACAAACTTGACAAACGTTGACAATACATTTGTCGATCGAATGGACTTTCTTCCACTGCATCGGGTCACTTCCTCCACAGGAGTAAATAAATTCACAACTTTGAGAAATCTCAGCTGGTTTTAATCCTTTGTCCTTTGGTGGCACAACAGAAAGTAAGCGAAGAAACCGATATTGCAGCAACCGTTTGTCAAGGGAAAGGGTTGGGGTGATCAATTAAAAATAGTTTAGCAAATGACCGGATTGCTTGGGCACCGGCTTTAGAAACCTGTCAGTTCTGATTGCACGGATCCAGATCAAAACTGCAAATGGTAAGCGTTTTCTTAAAAAGAAGTCTTCCTGTTCCACTGGGTCTATGTGCCGTGCACTGTCTACGCTACTGCAGATTTAACAGAATAATGGATGTATGAAAATTCATGTGATTGACGGTGACCTCTTTAACCAGGTCTGATTGAGAACAGGGTTGGGTTTACAGGCTGCCAATCAATGCAGGGGGGGTACCCAGGCCCTCCCTCCAGCTGCCAATTTGAAAAGGGGTCCGACCTTCTGCTTTCTGCTCAGTCGAGACACATGGGAGAAACCGAATTCCAGAGTAATTGGTCAAGAAAAATAATTTTTAAAAAGCATCCATACACATACCCATTCCCGTATCAGGAAATGATTTTAAAAAACAGCAGACCCTCTTCAAGCCAATCAAAACGACATTCAGTCTGTTTCGCTAAAGCAGTTCATTTACAACGCGATAGAAAATAGCCTACAAATTAATTACAGTGACTTTTTTGTACAAATAAAAATAAAGGAGACTCAACGCTTGGCTTTTTAAAATCTAGATACACAGTTGAGGCTGTTTATTCTGTTCAGGAGGAGGAGAGAAAAGGAAGGGAAGGGAAGGGAAGGAAAAGTTGGGGGCGGAGAATTTTTCCTTCCAAGGTACAGGGAAGATGCGGAACAAAGCAAAGTTAAATGCAACATCCTGAAGATAAATAAAGAGCAGGATGGAAGAATACATATTAAAGGGAGAAGTTAAAGCTTCATTTGCTGGATGGAAATCAATATTTAGGGAAGGGAAGGGAAGGGAAGGGAAGGGAAGGGAAGGGAAGGGAAGGGAAGGGAGGGG